TGGAAAATCACTGTTGTTTCAGTGTTAAGGAACTCCATTGTTTTACTGTAGTCAGACTCTTAAAATAGATTCAAAAAGAAGTAGCATTGCTTTTATGATAAAGAGCTCTAATGAATAATGTAACGGAATTAGAAAAATTGATAGATACACAAATTGACAGCAAGAGACAGACTGGCCGACAGCACAGAGGCAGCAGACACAGCAAGACTTTGAAAACAACTAAAGTCTTTGTCTCAGTAAAGATTCTGTCCTGCTTATGTCTCATTAGTAAGACAGTGAATCCCTCCCTACTAGGGGGGGTATTTGGTTTTGAACTCCTAAAAAGGAGAGAGATTAATTAAGTGTATCACTGATGTTGTTACTGTTTCTACTACTGTTGCTGCTGCTAGTTATTTCATGTTCTCTGGCGTTACCTGACAGGGTGAGGTCCAGTCTGTGGATGAGTGAGCGCTTGGCTGATTCCATCTCAGGACTGGGGTTGTCAAGAGCTTGGCGGCACCACACGATAGGACTCAAGGTTTTCTGCAGGGGACTGTTCAGTTTCGCCTCATATAGCCTGGAAAAACATACACAGCACACACAGTTAGACGTGGTGTATTGCAATCACAAACTGTCGTCTCTCTCTCTCTCTAATGATGACCGACTATGACATGTGACAGCTCATATGTGATGTGACGCAGTGGAAATGAGATGGGAGCGGGGATAACAAGTGTTTGGACAGTGTTTTATCACAGACTGCTGCAGTGGCAAAAAGGTATTTATGTGACCACGCTTGCTGACACTGAAATTACTATTTGTCTTCATTTAGATTTATTTCATATTTAAATATTTGAACTCTTAGAGGGGCCATTAATTATCTAAGACCAGTTGAAAACATACATTGAGGTGACTTGCACTCTGCATCTTCAATACCTGTCAATATAATCTTGACTCTTAAATGTTGCATGTGTTCAATAAGCACAACCCTCTCGGTCTCCCTGAACCATGAGGACAATGCAACTTACAGCTCTCGCTGCAGCAAACTTTAAGAATGAAACACTGTCACTGCCTGAAATCGTTGGAAAGAGTCATGGGTTCAGTGCTTAGTCAGCCGTATTGATTGAGTCTGTCTCTTAATAGTGATGAGAACACATAAATGTATACAATAAGGCTACAAACTAACTGAATTGTCAGTTGTACAAGTAATAGAAACATGTGTTTATCCTTAATCTCCGAGAGGAGAAGAGAAAAGGAGAGTTTCCACTCAGAGGAGACATCTGAGTCAGCAGCTGTCAGCTCTGTTGCAGCCATCGAAGAAGCCTTTCATGATGAAAGCACAAACAGGCAAAGACGGGCCAGTGCAGAGAAATACAAGCCTGAAATCTGGGATTGCACATTTTCAATGTTTACCAACACAATGACCGCCATTCACATTCACATTCACTACAGAGTAAATCTCCTGCTAACACTTCAGACATGACCTCCAAGCTCTGAAACAATGATAGGGGTCATGTCCACATGCAGTTGGTGTGACAAGCATCTATTGATAGGAAACAGCACTGCGGGAGAATGCAGCATTTAAAATCCAGTCTAATGCTAATTCAGGGATTACAGGAGTCTATGACAGGAGCTGCTGAGAGCTAGGCACTACACTAATCCCACATATCAATCTGATCCAAAGGGCAGACAAACAGCAGCGGTATAACGAGACTGGCTCTGCTGAGCATGAGTGAGCAATGTCTGAAAGTAGTCTGATGTCGAAGGCTCAGTGGCTGGCACAGGCTCACTGCTGCAAGCAACAGAGGGAAGACTGCTGTGAGCTGGCTTTCAACCAAATGTGATCTACCGTCGTAGTTTTAGCCACTGTCCTTAAGTTGCATCAGGAAGTACGCCTTCATTACACTGTCATTACCAAAGAAGACGCCAATCAGGCAAACTCCTCCTTACGAGCCACAAATAACAAGGGCCACTGTGTTCTGTGGACGACCCATCATTACATTCACGTCTAGTCAGTTTCTATCTTCTGTAAACCCTTCTACCAAGACTCATCTCGGTGCGTAACTCTGCCTCTTGAAGGGATTTCCTTGACTCGGGATACGAGGCGAGATTAAGACAGCAGCATCAATCCAATCACACTCTGGAGTTTCAAGGATTACACATCTAAAGTGCTGAGCGCTGGAGGAAACAACACAAACACAACGTGCTGAGGATTAAGGAGTGTGGATGAACATGTGGACTGATTACAAACAGACCAACATGATGCCAAATGCTCATCCATCCACAAGACGCTCCACATGACCCTTTTATATTATTTACACCCATTGTTTGTAACCCCTGTAAACTCAATGCCAGTGGCCAGACTTTTGACACTGCCGTAGCTTTTATTCCTACATGATGAGATGGCAGTGCTATTTCAAATCTCTTGCCTTCCTCACTTGGTGCTGCAGAGCACTTGTGGCTGTGTGCCAACACTTTCAGAGGAGGAATATAACCATGGCTACCTCTCCCACATGACTGTGTGTTGGAAACAGGAAAACAACTTTCATTTTTACTGCACACACTGATCTCCTGCCACCACTGCCATGACAAGCCAAGCAATCTGCCACATCACAACACCAGAAACGGTCCAACAGATGATCAGGGACTTCACGGTCCTGACAGCGGAGAGGCTGATCCTCAGAGGCCTAAACTGATCAGTGTCGGAAACAAATGCTCATACTGGAAGCGAGGTATGAGATAATGGATAGATATTCGGTATTGATTGTAGGACAAAGCACGTCTATTATGGTGACACAGTCCGAGAAGGGGCTTGGCATCGCCCACATGACTTGCCAAACTGCATCGTTCAGTCAGAGATCCACAATGAGACTCCTTCAGATGACTTCAGCTCCTAAACATTGTTTATGCCAGACGTTTTGTCTTGGTAGCTAATGTGTAGAGCAGCTGTGCAACTGAAGACCCAGACACGGCTGTAAAGGCAAACAGTGGTCCCGAGACAAGGCTGTCACTCACCAGCTGTCCTCGTCTTCGTGTAGACAGTCCATGTCTTCGAGATCTAAGATTTCCACTTCGTCTAGGATTGATGTTTCCCCTTCGTCTGTAAAAGCCCCGGTGGTGTCTGAATAAAGTGAGTTCATACTCGACACAGAGGCGGCAGCCGATGCCCCCTCATATTCATACGCCCTCCTGAAGCTGATACCGTCGTATGACAGTCTGGGGCTCAAACAGCGGTTATTCTCCAGCAGCCCACCGTAGCCTCCCGTCCCGACGAACCCCACCCCAGGGAAGCCGGCCAGACCGGCTGCCATCCCCGCTGACAGGGACGATGGGTCGTATCCGTCGCTGAGGGGTCTGTGGTGCCCTGACATCGCTCCGGACGAGGACAACATCGTAGACCGACTCCGAAGCTGTTCATTTTGCTGCTCGAGTTTCTTCACCAAGTCCTGGAGCTTCCGCACCTCCAGGTCCGCGTTGATATTTGAGTTGATATCCTCCATAGCGGCTCCGCAGCCCTGCGAAAATATGCGGTGGTCTGTGGTATTTTTAGTCGTTTCTCTGCCCAGAGTCTGTTTGTTCTTGTTCACTTCACTCTTATCTACGTGTTCAAAGAAGACACTTTGGTGTTCAACCGACTTAAAAAGCTCAACATCGTCATCTTCTCCGGTGTACCGTGCTTACGGGCAGGGTCGAGGCCATTTTCATAATACTCGTCACCAACTGTGAAAGACCAACAGGCGGCGAAAAACTCACGTCACTGCGTTCAGCGTCGGGAGCGAGCACGTAACCAACACCTATTTGCACGTGCACCGATAACTACTTAAACAAACGCGTTTAGCATCGTTTGTGCTACCGACGGCCCGTATTTACTCGTGTTTGATGTGGGTAACCGAATAATTATTTGATTCTTAATCCATTTATTTATTTATTGACCTACATTGCTGGTCCAGTTCCTCCCAGGTGAATAAAAAGTGAATGGCATGGTAATAAAAATGATTAATTACGGTACTCAAAATCTATACTACGATTTAAAGAAATACATAAGACAAGAAAAAAACCCAACAACTTGAGCACAAGCCTTTTTATTTTCATATTGAAATGTTAAACATGTTTCAGAAGGATGTAAAAAAAAAAAAAAAACATTTTGCAATGAGCAAAGTCTTATTTTTCAGAGCGTCAGTTTTAAGAGAGTTCCAAGGCTTCCTCTGACTCCAGATGCTCCTCAGTTTTTTGAAACACTGCTCCTCTTGGCTCTCCAGCCTCATCTTCAGCCTCCACACTCTCCTCTCCCTGCCCCTGGCTGGTCATAGAAGTTTCCAGCCCGTCCTGGTCAGCGCTGGCGTTCTGCGACTCTGCTCCCTCGTCATCTTCATCTTCTACATCCATCTCAAAAACGCGAATGTGCCTCAGATTGGCACTTAGCTGCCGGGAAAGAAGAAGTAAATGTTAGGAACAGTCCATAACATTCATTCACTGGCATGCCCCCCCTGGCAGAGAAATGTGAGAACACTGAAAAGGGATCATCTGATGATGTTGATCCTGGCAACAAATAAACAATATTGCAGTACAGCTCATTCACACATAATGTGCCAAACTCAAATCCCCATACACTTAATATAACAGGAAGTCTTGGATATAAATTTAACATACCACACAGGCCACTTTGCGGATTCCATTGACCGCTACAAACTGGGCCTTCATGCTTTCCAGTTCACGCCACTGATTCCCCAACACCAGTTCTTGGCACGGGATGGCACTGCTCTGCTGGTCCAACCTGACAAAATGGGTGAAATGCAGCATTTTATGCTTCATCTCTGCTGTCTTTAAGGCATTACTTAACTACTGTAAGCCATTTTCAAACTATAAAGTCCCTTAACTCAATTCTAACTTTTGGCTTCCTTGTCCTGATTGGTGAGAATTTGTGTTATGAAAGGGAAATTTTCCAAATAATGCACACACACACCTCAGGTTGGGCTCCCAGTTGAATTCTGTCTCACAGCTCAGGGTGGAAGCAAGAGGAACCTGAGCCAGGACACGCCTCCTGTTCTCTTCTTCTGATCCTTGCAAGACCACAGTTAGCATTTCATCGTCATAGAAACGAGCATCCAGGCAGCTATATACATAATTAGACCTGGAAAACAAAACCATGTTGAGTCATGGTAGCAACACCGTCACTCGGTGAGGAATTACTTTGCATTTCTGTCTAAACTAATTTAATTGGTAGGAATGACAAGAGGCACTAACTGGGCTGCAGCGTTATCATCCTCTGCATTGTCAAGATGGTGGCTGAGGTCAATGGACATTACGCTGTTAGGGATATGTCTGTGCCAGAAACAAAGAACATTATATAAACGCAGATTAAACACACAAAGAACCTCACACATACACCCACAATGACAGACGTGTACCTGTTTGGGTCTGTTCCTTTGCGCAATAGGTAGAGCTTGCAGGGTGAAATCTCTGGCATACAGAACAAAACATAGTGCATTTGGGCTTTCTTGTCATTCCATCTGTAGGACAAAAGAGAAATATCATCAACACAAACCCGTCTTACTGCGCAGAGCATTTGGAAACTCCAGGATGTTTGTGTTATACGTACAAAGATGGAAGTTCAAAAAGTCGTGGAGTGTTTTCAGAGCTGGAAAGACAACGGACATGAACAAATAAATGCAACTTTAATCACATTAATTTAACTGTATTTCAAGTAATACAAATTATTAACAGAAACATATGATCATACCTCTCTGGCACGGTGTACAGGGGCAAAAAGACTGCCTGTTTTACAGACTTCCCAATCACTTCCTGCATACAGATGAACAAAAAATAAACAAACATGTAAAATGAAAGAATAAGTCAAGTTTTCATTAAAACACATATGAAGTTTGTTTTAAAAGCATGTTCAGTTATCTTTTATTAACCAATGGAGTAACGGTATTACCAACACACGTTTATTTGCTTTAGCAAAAAAGCTGTACTGTATTGAAGCCAATAACGGCCATGCTTGCAATTATCTTTTTAATGCCGTTATCAAGATCACGTGTTAATTTATCTCTAGAAAACAAAAGCCGATTTACAAAGATAATGAGTTAATTTATCAAAAGAAAATTACTTTTGTTTTCCTGAGCTCACAGGATAATTCTGGCGAACTCAAAAAGGAATGTCTGGTTGTTTGATCACACTTGATTTGAGCGTTCAAGGTCACCATCATGAGGATTCACAGCTGAACTGAAAAGAGTTTATCCCACAAATCAGAGAGTGAATTTAAGATATTAAGTTCCTGGCAATATGATGGACTACTGACAAAAAGGAAAAGATGTTATTTTATTTTTTTAGATTATTTTGGGGCTTGTATGGCCTTTATTAGACAGGGGCAGCTGTGGAGAGACAGGAAAGTGGGGGGAGAGAGGGAGAGAGAGGAGATGACATGCAGCAATGGGCTGTAGGTTGGAATCAAACCCAGGCCACTGCAGTAAGGACTCAGCCTTTGTACGTGGGGTGCAGGCTCTACCAGGTGAGCTGTCAGGGCACCCAAATACCAGGAGAAGATTGAGATTTATTAAATCAGCTGAAAGATCCCTGCAATGTCCAGAGTGCACTTCGCATTCTGGTCAGTGTGAAAATGAATATTAACTGGCACGTTGTAGGTCATTCCTCCATGCATTGTCTATTATGTTGAACCAATGCTACATCTATAATACGTCATCTATGCATTGCTGGCATGGCACCTCTGAAACTCGGAAACTTTTGTTTTCTCTTGATCCTGAGATTAACTGCCTTAAAAAGGACCAGTATGTAGGATTTAGTCACATCTAGTGCTGATATTGCAAATTGCAACTAACTGAACACAGCTGGCGTCTGTATTTGATGACCTGGGAATGAGAATGTGCTGAGAGAGAAACTACAATGGCTGTTTTAAGGTGATTATACACTTCTATCAATAGCCTCCTAAATGTTACACACTGGACCTTTAAAAAAGTTGTTGCAAGCACGGCCGTTCAGGGCTTCCATAGGATTGTGGCTACAGTAAATATAAAACGCTGCAGGAACTACACAGAATGGGCAATATTGTTCCCTTTTTCACAGCAGGTCCCTGACGTTTGTACCTTAAAGGTCATTTGTACTGGTTAAAAAAAGGAAGATGAACAGCACATAAAACTCACAGCAGGTTTCTGGAGACACTGCTCAATCACATTCTCCATCATCCTCTTGACGAAGTGCAACGACTTTCGGGGATAAGAAGGAAACAGCAAAGGGCTCTCTAGATAAACCAGTCAAACATGTTATCTCTTAGTTATGGCAGTGGTACTTAAAGTAAACTGACACTCAGCAGTTTCTCACCAAACCAACCATTTAACCTCCATCCAAAACACATACATTAGTTATAAAATTAGTAATTAATTATTAATAAAACCATTTTCTGCAGGCTTAAAGTCAAGATCATAGTTCACCCTTCAGGTGCGTGCTCTCCTGTAAAAATGTCAGCCACTGATTTCCTTTTGTGTTGGGCGGAGACACAAGGTCCTCATCTTCGTCCTTCAGGTACTGCAAGTGTCCATATGAAAGAGAAACCAGACTGCTGTAAGACAGCAGCTCCACTCAACAACACTGTGCAACAAAAAAACACTTACCTGACCAACTCGTTCTACGTTGAAGTACTTCCCTTTACGATCAAAGAGTTCTTCATTCTGTTAAACCAGAGAGCAGTTTGTGAAAAAAACTATACGTTGAACAAATGTATTTAAAGGTCATCACAGTGCCATTGTACTGTTCTCACCTCACTGAAATGCTCAGACAGGAAGTCAGCAACAAAGGCAATGTCCTTCTGAGTCATCTGAGGGATTAACCAACATGGTAAAATTATACAAATTATATCAGGAACCCTTAAAATCACAAATCTCTCTCTCTCCTCACCTTGTTGAGCTCTGGTGGTATATGCTCCTCACACATTCTTAGCATAGCTGTGGGACAGCAAAGAGCTTGAGCATTAAAACAATCATTAAAACCTTATACTTGGGATCTTATAAACTAGTGCATGTTTTTTTTTTTACATTAATGTAATTTGTATTCTTACCGACATACAACCACCGAAAAAAGGCCTTAAAGTTTTTCATACTCTTGTCAATCACCCTAAAAGACAAAATAATAAGCAGTGATTCTATGCAGAGTTGTGACACATTGAAAACAACAGCACACACAAAATTTGCACAAAATATAACACAAGCACTGCAAATGGTACACAAATCTAATTAATTCAAAAATCAATGAACTCACTGCAGAAGTTCATTGGCTTTCAGAGAGAATGAACCCACAGCGGTGATAGCACCTGAAAACATAAAACGCAGATGTGAATGCTGCGATGAAAAGTCAAATTTTTTCCTAATCATGCAGGTTAGTGGTATGGTACCTTCTATAGCTGCTGAATCCAGACCGAGGGGCTCAAACTTCTGCTTCCAAAGGGACATGCCTTTCACCTCACTGAGGTGATACAACAGAGCCTCCGAGCCGCTGCCCCCAGAGAAAAGGAAGATATTTTAATTGAAAGATCGCAGGTTACAGGCAGCATTGAGGAGAAGTGAAAGGTTGAACATACCTCTGCAGGTGGCTGATCACCAGCTTCTGGATGCTGGAGTAAGAGGACTCAATGGACTGGCCGAGCTTCTTCAGGCCCTGTGATAAAATTAGAATATGCAAAGAAACAGAATGAGTTTTTCAGTTACAGAAAGTCTTATCCGAACAAATTCAAGTTTGAACATTAAGAGGAGCATTTGCACAACCTCTTACTCTCACCTTGACGGTCAGCTGGTTCATCAGAAGAGCTTGTAGTTCAGGGCTACATGAGAGCAAAGAGCCAATCAGAAGAAAAATTTGATCATTAAGTAGCTCAAGATATTTTGCTTCCATCTACAACAACCAAACTTTTTCCTTAACAGACCCCTTTTCTGTCATTAATCACTAAGTGACATATTTTATAGCTATTTCATATTATATTCAGTGCATAAAAATAACAGTACAAAACAACTAACAAACTGTACAAGGAACCCAAATAGTGAA